CACAGATATGTATATCATATTATTGAACAATTTAGCCTTAAAACATTTTTCGCTGTAAATCAAGAGTAAAAGTACTGCCTGGAATCGCTGTATCAGTGACTCAACTCACCTAGCTGTTGCTTTTTAAAAACTTTTCTGTCATGCAACGATTTTCAGCTGTTACCTCAAAGTTCAATGATACGCTTTAATTCTAAATCTTAGTCTTGGAACAACACAAATATCATTTCCAAGGCCTTGAAAGTGATGGACTTCGAGTGTGGGTCATGGCTAATCATAAAAGAATTACTGAGCCTTAGATATTTGAGAGAGACATACCTTCATTTCAGATCATTTTCACACAAAGTCAAATAATTTTGGAACCAGCTTCTTGAATGGTGTTTCAAAACGACATGGATGGGCGTACAAAAATTTTATTTTAACAGATGAGGAACACCTTTTTGGTGTTTATGGTAAAAAATTTTGATGCAGCATAAAAGCATATACAGTTTAATATTCCCTCTGCTACGCTTCAGCGCGTTGATAATTTTGTTTCAGAAAAACATTTCGCTACGCTGTAAACGATTTTGTTTCCATGTTTAACTTAAATTGCCGCAGAAGTCTTAACCAGTTTTTTAATAGCAAAATCCCAAAGTAAAAAATCGCAGAGAAAATTTGTTTTCTCGAGGGATTTGTTTGCTGACGTCATGAGCGTGCACAATAGAAATATGAAGCACGCTCACGCAATTGAATTTGATTAGACAAATTTACTAGCTATGTTATAAATGTATTTGATGAATAAATGAAAAGTGCAAATCAAATGATCATTTTCCTCGTGAGTGGTTTTCCAAATGTGAGCAACAAAGGTTTTTTTTTCTGGCAGGCTACTAGGCAGCTCACCGAATACGGGAGCCACTAAGTGAATTGATCAGATATATAAAGGGAGTGAGTTTCTAAAGAAACTGTGGTACTGCGTCGGTGGGAGAATATAACAGGGTAATTTAGTTTAATCAACTGAGTTAATTACGTAAGTTGGCAACCGTAAAGAGTTTCTTAAGCTGGCGTTAATCCTTCGTCAGAGCGAATGGTCAGGTGTTGCTTCCTATATAGGTGTAATTTACCTTTCCACTGAAAACGTTCATCCTTTTTCTCCATAGAGAGTTCTCAGTTTTAATTAAAGGAAAAGGAAAAAGAAGCCCTGTGTTTGCAGGCCCGAATGTAAGTTGTAAGACAAAGTTATTTTTCACTGATGTGTTTTCCATCACGCTGGCCCCCGCGCTGACGTACGGAGAACTAGGGGTGAAAATTCTGTCGTGTATGATGTTATTTTATCTTCAAATTTCCGAAATCACCGCTGTCTCGGTTTCCACCCAATTTATAACTCGAATTGATACAGCCGACAGATAAATTTTTCCTTGACTCACCGCAGATCTCACAACAGAAGCCATGTCTGTCGGAGAAGAAAACTGGCAAATTACAAGACCAACCATCAGAGAGAGAACAAGTTTGTTTTCAACAACGATCGCCTCAGCGATATCAGGTTCGTTGTTCGCAAGATGGATGGTGAAAGCGAAAGTAAACAAGTGATTCCTGCTCACATGTTCGTGCTGTCTATCAGCAGTCCTGTGTTTGAGGCCATGTTTCACAGTGAGTTGGCGGAGACTAGAGACTCTACTTAACTGTCTGACTGTGAGTACGAGAGTCTGTTGGAGTTGTTTCGCTACATGTACAGTAATGAAGTGAACTTAAGCGGAAGTAATGTCATGGGAGTGTTGTATTTGACTAAGAAATACATGATGCCTTCACCAGCGGAGAAATGTAAGGAATATCTCCAAAATTGAGGCAGTTGCGCCGAAAAAGTTGCAAGGCAATGGCTTTGATTATTACGGCATCGAAATGTTCTTTGGCCAAAAAGCACTTTTAAAGGGAAACACACGGTATTGTTTAAGTGCATCAATAATAGGTTTCCTATCTCATCATGGAGAAAACGGTGTGAGTACTAAGCACTGTTCAGGTGTTACATTCCCATTTACGAACAGCACCTACCCAGACAATGAAACTACGACAATACAGGGACAGTTTCCTAAATTATTATTTTCTCTTTAAATGATCGCAGCCCATTTTAAGTAGTTATCGCGTATTTCCATATAGTTTTAATGAAACTGTTAAGCAAACAAGCTGATGCAAATGTAAATGCCTGGAATGGATAAAAAGTCTTAGACATATCGCCAAGGTAATTAATAATCTTTTCAGAAGACACTCAATGTAAATGCTTACCAACACTCCAAGGGCGATAAGAAACTAGATTGAAAAACATAAATGACGACTAACCCTGAAAGGGTCTGAGCAACTTTTGAAGCAACTATAACATTTGATTGAATTTGCTAATACAAAAATCTGAAAATATTAAAAAATCTAGTATCTTCAAAACTACATTCACTTAAAGTGCTATCCTTTTAAAAGTTCAGCAAATGATGACTCAGATTCAATTGCTGAAGTTCTCATCCAATGAACACAACCATACATAGTACAGCAAAGGCTTATTTGGTTTTATATGTTGCCTATTGAGTTATCCATAAGCGAAGTTAATAATTTTAATAAGCTGCAATTAATCTTCATTGAGAGGAAGTTTTGCCTAAATATGCAAACAACATTTATTTGTCACTTCTAGACAATCTGTAGTATTCCTGCTAGTTATAAATGCATATAGTAGCTTTCGGTTTGTAGTTTATTGCAAATCAAATTCGAATAAATTTAGTGGTAGAATATTCACGTTTTAGGGCAGATCATTCGGCTAAAATGATATAATCAGAAAATCACTGGATTGTACGCAAATCGCACTCGAGTACAGTTTGCAGCAAGATCAAGAATGTAACAGATTAGTATATTACCAGCAACGGTTTTCTGCTGTAAAACCAAGTTCTCATCACTAACGTTAGCGCAATTCAGTCAACAAGTAAGAAGAATTGGTATCATTTTTTTTTTTAAACTAATACTAACAAATAGCCACAGTACCTGAGCATCCCTCATCAAGCCTGGTAACCCTGTGTCTTCTATGTATCCTTGACCACCAAAACTCTCAAGACCTTCTGAGGTAACCTGCATGGCCTGTGTAAAAAAGCAAAGCTCAGGTTATGAGACTTTTAAAAAACAATGAATAAGCTTTGACAAAAGGGTTGATTCTAGAGGTCTTAACTGAGGTGTTCTCTTAGAATCACAAACTGAATAAATTTCTAGAAACACCCACTCTGAATTAAGGAAACAATTTCCTCGCGTAGACGTCAAACAGATACAAGTTGGAAGGGATGCGCAAGAGTATCGGGTTATGTGCGCCTCGACGAAATCGCTGAAGCGTAGGTAGCTATTATAAATGTTGGTTCCTGCTTGGCATAGCGTATAAACCAATCAAGGCTTAGATTAATTTTACGACTAGAGAAATTCATTGGTTACATTCAAAAAAAGCCTTTTGGTAACTCCCATCTTAGAAGTTAGCCTGCAAAATAGGTGTATTTTTGTTGTATATTCGGTCGCAAGTCGCGCGCGATGATAGCGCCCTCACAGCTCTCGCCTTGCACTTACCTTTACTAGCCTTGAAAAAAAGCCAAAAAAAACATTACACCTTTGCTATTAACAGCCTTGGTTGAAGTGCAAATTTAGACAAGCTCAAATGTTAAGATATTTTTGAGCAAAGAAAACTTGCACAAACTTCCTTGTGTAGCGAGTCACGGCTTACAGCAAATGTCAAATTTGATCCTGCAGACAATTTTTTGTTTGAAGCAATGGTCGTACCTGTTTAGCAGTGTACAGCTTTGTGATAGGAGTAAGAAGTCTCAACAGCTGTGTCTCTACATCTGAGGCCTCGTTGCAATCCTGTTTACCAAGCAGACGGGCAACTTCCATTGAGAGCAGGAAGGCCGCGCGGGTCTCCACCTGTACAAGGACGAAAAAAAGGAGGTAAGTTATCTTGATATCTTTCTCTCTTTCTTTGAAGGTAAATAATGACGTGGTGTACAATTTCTAATCATTTATATTCTATCCTAGTGGCTATTTTCATGGGTTTATAGCCCAAATAAATATTTGCCTAGTGAAGAAAGGATGAAGTAAACCAATTTGCTACCAGTTTTAGTTTTAAAGGTCATGGGTTGACAAGGCATGGCAACTTTCTGGACCAAATTCAGACTGAATTACAACACTCCTAGATCACTTTCGGCTTTAAATTTACATTTTTTCTGTGGTTATGGGGGGAAAAAACATAATATTTCCTGGAGCAAATTTGGAATGAACAACTGCACATCTGGATTACTTCGAAAATTACATTGACAATTGTTCAAAGACCAAGAAAATAAATCATCAAGTGTTATTACCTCTATTTTAGCAAGTGTCTGCATATGAAGGGGATGTTCCACCAATAGTTTACCAAACACTGATCTTCTCAAACAATAATCCTGAGCCAGAGACATAATTCTGAAAAGGATCCAAGGATGTCAATTGTTAACTAATATTATCGTAAAACAAAATATTGTGAGGTTCAAAGCTGGTCCACTGATTTTTAAAGTCATGAAAGCACTCTAGCTTCATACAAACTGTTTTCTACCCTTATCAATAAAGGGCAAAATTACTGAGCGCTGATTGGTTGAGAGAGAGGGCATTTTTTCTTAATCGAGGGCATTTTTAGTAATCAAGAGAGGGCATGATTACCTGTTAATGATTGGCTAATCCGTTGCATAGCAACCGTTTGTTATCTTGAAATTTGTTAAAAATAGACTGCGCGCGTGATT